TAGTGCCAACACTCTTATATGGGTGTGAAGCTTGGGTGGTAAATGCAGCAGCAGGAGACGGTTGGAGGCAGTGGAGATGTCCTGTCTAAGGGCAATGTGTGGTGTAAATATTATGCAGAAAATTCGGAGTGTGGAAATTAGGAAAAGGTGTGGAGTTAATAAAAGTATTAGTCAGAGGGCAGAAGAGGGGTTGTTGAGGTGGTTTGGTCATTTAGAGAATGAATCAATGTAGAATGACATGGAAAGCATATAGATCTATAGGGGAAGGAAGGCGAGGTAGGGGTCGTCCTCGAAAGGGTTGGAGAGAGGGGGTAAAGGAGGTTTAGTGGGCGAGGGGCTTGGACTTCCAGCAGGTGTACATGAGCGTGTTCAATAGGAGTGAATGGAGACAAATGGTATTTGGGACCTGACGATCTGTTGGAGTGTGAGCAGTGTAATATTTAGTGAAGGGATTCAGGGAAACCTGTTATTTTTATATAGCCGGACTTGAGTCCTGGAAATGGGAAGTACACTGCCTGCACTCTAAAGGATGGGTTCAGGATATTAGCAGTTTGGAGGGTTATGTTGCGTATCTTTATAGATATATGCTTCTAAACTGTTATGTTCTGAGCACCTTTGCAAAAACTGATTATGTGTGAGTGAAGTGAAAATGTTGAATGATGATGAAAGTAGTTTCTTTTTTGGGGGATTTTCTTTCTTTTTGGGTCACCCTGCCTCGGTGGGAGACAGCCGACTTATTAAAAAAAATAATAATAATAATAATCCTAGGTAGTAGGTTGGTAGACTGCAACTATCCAGGAAGGTACTACCATCCTGCAAAGTCAGTGTAAGACAGAAATCTGCAAATGTTTTCCATGATGGAAGGATTGCTGCTGTCTTTTATTCTCTCAAACATGCAAGGTTTCAGGTACATCTAGCTACTTCTGCTTACACTCAGGTCACACTACACATGCATGTAGAAGCATATACATGCACCACACCCCTCTGGTTTTTCTCCTATTTTCTTACTAGTTCTTGTTTATTTCCTCTTACTTCCATGGGAAAGTGGAACAGAATTCTTCCTCCACAAGCCATGCATGTCATAAGAGACAACTAAAATGTTGGAAGCAAGGGGCTAGTAACCCCTTCTCCTGTATATCTTACTAAATTTAAAGAGAAGCTTTTGTTTTTCTTTTTAGGTCATCCTGCCTTGGGAAGATACAGCCAGTTGAAAAAAAAAAAAAAATAATTAAAATTAATTTAAAAAACAATTTTCTCAAAACAGAAAGGATTGTGTGAAAGGGAAGAAAAAGAAAAGCTAGCTGAAGGGGAGTTATGAAACTCCCTATGTTAAAGAGGTATTCATGAACATGTTATGTAGAGGGTATTTCCTGAGGTAGCTATATATTTAAAATCCTTGGTCAAAGACATGCCTATAATAATTATTAAAATGTATTTGCTAGCATCAGCTTGAAAAGTTTGATACCATTTTCTGAAAATGTAATTCCTTGGAGTTTGCTTAGTTCATTCCATTAATTTAACCCTTTGACTGTTTCAGGCCCCTCTCTGAAACTGTCATTCTATGTCGCCAAATATTCAAAAAAAAAAAAAAATTATTTTTTCTTATGAAAATGTTAAGATTATTTTTCTGAGTGTTTTAGTCCAAAAAAAAAATTTTTGCCATCGGTACTTACCGAGATATAGAGCCGTGAAGTTTGCAGAAAATGAGCCGTGTATGGCAACAGTGGCGACTGCCGCTCACCCGGTAAACTTTAGTTTACTTGTAATTGAAGTTTTTTTTGTTTTTTTCACTATTTATTTTTTCACATAACTTATGTGGCCTGTGAGACCAAAGTAAGGTGCAATGTACATATATACACTCGTTGTATACAACACAATAAGCACACAAACATAATTATCAATATATTGTTTACAAAACTTGTTTACAAAAACAAACAAACAATCATCCTCCTCCTCCTTCTCATCCTCCTCCTCCTCCGCCTCCTCCTCCTCCTCCTTCTCCTTCTTCTCCTTCTCCTTCTCCTTCTTCTCCTTCTCCTCCTCCTCCTTCTCCTCCTCCTCCTTCTCCTCCTCCTCCTTCTCCTCCTCCTCCTCCTTCTCCTTCTCCTCCTCCTCCTTCTCCTCCTCCTTCTCCTCCTCCTTCTCCTCCTCCTCCTTCTCCTCCTTCTCCTTCTCCTCCTCCTCCTCCTCCTCCTCCTCCTCCTCCTTCTCCTCCTCCTCCTTCTCCTCCTCCTTCTCCTCCTCCTTCTCCTCCTCCTTATAATTGTTTTGAGTCAGAAGTCGGCAGCTGTCAAAGTGACATGTCTCATTACTCTCTCCCCCTCCTGCCTGTCAAAACAATGGGGTCGGATGCTGCTTCCCCTCCTCCATTCTATCTAATTATCTTTCTCCCTCATTCTATATCTTTCAATCTGTCTCTCTTTCTATCTGTCTGCCTATCTCTGTCTCACAGGTACACATAAATACAAGTATACATAGTGTAAATTACCTAGGATAACCCAAGAAATCCAGACAAAGTGCTATACTCTGCTTGAAGATGTGAGTAAACGTGATGATGACAGTCTTGTGGCTCTCTCTCAGACAGAGAGCTAGATGGACAGACAGGGAGCTTGACAGACAGACAAATAGACGGACAGAAATGTTTGTGTACCAGCAAAAACAAAGGGAGGGCGATGGTCATGTAATATTTCCTTAGCTCTACCCTCGTTTACGCTCATCAAAGTCAGCTCTTATCAGATGTTATCTCCCCTTATCTTGTCACTGTCATGGGGTGGACTTTTTTTTTTCTTGCTTCAAGGGAACAATATTATTACATCTTCTTCCTCCTCCTCCTCCTCCTCCTCTTCTCCTCCTCCCTCCTCCTCCTCTTCCTCCCCTTCCTCCCCTCCTCCTCCTCCATTGCTTTTGGTCTCAAACTCCTCCAAATCATGAAATTGATCTTCACTGACACTTCCATCTGTGTTAGAGCATCACTTGGGAAGAGAAGAGTCCCAGATTTGCTGGGGAATCACATATTTCTTACCGCTAGACATGCTGAAAATGGACAACTGAAATGGCATTCCCACAATGCACCACTGGCTCCCCGATTTTTTTTATATGGTGCACACTGATCATGGAGACCCATTCTCTCACATGTGGGCCTACCAGCTTTCTCCTGCTTGATTTGAAGCTGCTAGAATTTATGCGTATAAATACGTCAGAAACATTGGCTCGTAAGACGTATTTATACGTCGGAAACAGTCAAAGGGTTAAAACTCTTATATTTAAAATATATCCTTCCTGTAGCTCATTTGGGTGTAATTTTATGCACCTTAGTTCTAGTTGCATCCATGGTATAGATTTAATCCTTGTCTAACCTGTCATCCCTATGCTTTATATGAAATGATGACTTTCACTTGTTCTCTATACCAGTGTGATAGGACCCTGATTATACACACTTTCTTCATAGCTCCTTTCCATCAGCTCAGGTACAAATTTCTCAAGTTTCACTTAAGCGTTTGAATTCGTTTCAATTCCACAATGACACTGCATATTCAAGAATGAGGTTTAAAATGTTTTAAACGAGTTTGTTTAGGTTCCAAAAACTCTCTCCCATAGCCGTAAACTTAGTCTGCTCCTCGGGAGATAAACAGAGGAAAATAACCATGCTAAGGATTTTTTCTTTAACTGTGTCTATGAGTGTCTGAGTTTTTTTTTTTTTTAAGCAGTACTCTGTTTTTTGGCCTCTTTTTAATTTCTGGCTTCATGGGCCCTCCTCCTGCAATTTTTCCCTCTAACCTACTCGAAGTTAAGGAATGTATGATCACTAGCACCTGGGGGTTCTTATTCTATTTCATTTGTGTCAAATCTACTTGCAATTAATATTTTGTCCAGCCTTGTTGGCTCATCTTTTCCTCTCTCTCTCATCATGTTTTTTACATGCTGTCACAAATTTTTTCTCTAATCACCTCCAAGTTCACCCTCCACATTCCAAGTCCTACATGTGGGTCCCAACTCTTCTAATGTATTTCTTTGTGAGTGAAGTCACCCAAGATAACCAGCTTTGCTCTAGCCCTGGGTGCACTCCTACCTGCTTCTGCTGTATTGTCAACCATTGATTTAATATTTTCATATTCCTACCTCAGTCTCCTACTGACTTACCAGACATGTGGTGACATTACATGAAAGTCACTACAATCAAGTAGTTCTAACTTATAAGGGTCATAGAGTGCCTAGGGAATAGGAAGCAATTAAAAGGGGAAGATAGGTCTAATTCCTTGGATCAACAGCTTCTCGCAGTAAGGAGAATTTGTTAAGTAGCCTTCTATACGGTGCCAAATCAAAAGCCCTTTCAGTTTAGTAATATGTAGGCCACCCATCCCTTTCTTCCATCTATGATGGTGTTTTGAGGAATTCAGTATCTGTACATGTTCAACAAGTCTCTTCCTCATGAACTTACCCATCCATTGTGTCTGGAACAATGAAGAATTTGGATACAATCATAAAGTACAAAATACTCCAAGGTGCAGGTTAAATAAGAAATGATGAAACAGGAATAAGAAAACATGGTTTAAAGTAAAATACCCAAATGTGCTACAGTGATATAAAAAATATTTTTTCAATATAGCCTCTCCTCACTTAGCAACGTACTAGTTTACCGACGCCTCGGACTTATGACAGGCTCTGTAACCAGCATTCATACCTAAATAATGTATATTCGCGCTGATTTCCTCTATTCTATTTATTTTAATATACAAAACATTACTGAATAAACATTTAAAAATATACCAGAAATGTTATAAATAGTGCAAAGGTAACATTAAAACAGTATCAAAGATGGTTGACACAAACTCACTACAACTATAGTATGCTCCTCACTTAGTGACGAATTCGTTTAACGACGTGATCTTGAGAATGGAACTGTGTCGTTAAGTGAGGAGAGGCTGTATAAGTGATATCTAGAACCTAATTTCTAAAGCACATGCATACTAACCTTGTGTATTTAAGCTCATCTTCCTTACCTGATTTTTTTCCCTTTCTTCAGAGAGGTTCTTAGTCAATTGTTCCACCTGAGTCTTAAGGACTATTCTCTGAGCCTCCAATCTTTGGTTCTCAGCTTGTGCTACATCGCACTTCCCAGCAGCAACATCTCGTTCCCGGCGTAGATATTTGATAACTTCACGAAGCTGATCAGATGATCGAGCTTCATCCTCAGTGAAGGGTGCTTTGCCACTCTCACCCTGCACATGAGAGTAATGTACTATAAAAATTAAAAAATATATTTTTGAGTTTCCTTGTTCAACATATAAATAAAAAAAAAAAAACAGATGAAAAAAAGCCAGAAAAAGACATTTCAAAAGAAAACATGATTAAAAAAAAAAAGATAATCTAAAACATAAAAATTATCAACAAATACAGTACACCCTTCAGTAATGGCAATTGTGGTAGATAGAGAAGAGAATGTTTTGCCAGGATTGCAACAATAATAGACTATTCTGTGACCAATAGACTTTGTCCACTCCCTAAATCAAATGACCAGGAGGGTTTTGTTTCATATTTCTAAGTCTGTTAAACAGAGGGTAATAAGATTTTTCTTTAAAATTCTCTACAATAAAATGGCATGGATATAACAAGAAACTTATGTTTGAGACTAGTCTACCTATAACTACACCAAAGTCCTGAAGGAAACAAGATACAAAAAGTTTTCCCCAAATTTAAAAATGAGTGAGAAAAAATAATTTCATACCACAGTTGAAGTAAGCTTGGTTTGAATTGCTGCCATTTTGTCAGAAAGCTGAGTAAACTGGTCAAGGATTGACTTATTCTGCTCCTCTAATTCTTGGCACCTCACAATAAGATCCTTATTTTCTTTACGCAAGACACTCTCTCTTTCCTCAAAGCCTAATTTGGTATCTGAAATGAAAAACTAATTTTTATAGTAAAACACATTAGCTTTGATGTCTCATCCCTTCACATTCACCAACAGTTTCTAAATCTTTTTTCACAATCTTGCAGCTACTTAAATATTGCCAATCAACATATCTTAAATTGAAAAATGTATTTAACTGAATAGTTTCTCTGCTGTATCAGAAGTTACTAGTTCAACAAGTCAACTGCACTATTTCACATAAAAGAAGTGTCACTAAAGACTGGACCAGGCACTCCATAGGAAGGTGTTGTAGATCCTACTATAATATTTAAATTGCCCAGTAATGCTTTTCTAAACTCTATGCCCATGTAACCCAATAATTTTAAGTTTATGTAGACAATGGCACCAGTCTACTGGTGGATATGAAGACATTGATAGCAAGGAATCCTTTTATTACAACACCTTACTCAAAAGTGGCCCTCTATAAAGTACAGTGGACCCCCGAATTTCGGCAGCCGCGACTTTCATGAAATCCAACTTTCAGCAACTTTTTTCGTCAAAATATAACCTCGCAGTTTGTGAATGGCCTTGTGATTTGTCCGTCATACGGGACACGTCCGTGCAGTTGGGAGCAGCCAGGTGTATACGAAGGCTCCCACACAACATTCAGAGAGTGAGTGTGGCATGATTTGTGGACAAGTGACCATCACCCCACGGGTTCTTATGATACATTTCATAATAATCCATTGTTTTTTGTGCTTGCAACTGCTAAATAAGCCACCATGGGCCCAAAGAAAGCTCATAGTCCCAGCCCTTTGGTAAAGAAGGAAAGAAACATGATAGAAGTCAATAAAAAACTTATAGCAAAGTACCAAAGTGGAGGAAGAAGAGAGAGGGGAGAGTGTGCCTTCTTCAGTGATTCTACGGTATGTATGATACTAAAGCAGCAGGTATTGATAAAGGCTATAGTGCCAGCCAGCGATAAAGTGTACCATTAACAGTGCAGTAGTAAGTTAAGCAATTAAGCGATAGAAAAACGACACAAAAGTAACTCTCCAATACTGTTGGAGGTGTATAGGGCCACTGAACATACGCCACCCTGCTATCTTCCACCGCCCTAAACCTCTGCAAGCATCTCCTCCATCAAACTAACTAATTAAACTAACACCTCCTCCAAGTGTAAATCTTTCTTATTTATAGTGTAAAGATCTCTTATTTATAAATTACGTACATTGTTTGTGTGAATAGTGATGGTGGCTTCTGCTGCAGCCTCCACCAACACTAATATGTACGGCTTCTCTCAGTGGCCCTTATAAACCCAACAACAACAACATCACCACTTGTGACATACGGAATGACATTTTATTAATTCTAGAGTATATACATATGTATCATGTTTCTATGTTATTAATATTGTTTATGTCATATTAGATGAATTGCGAAAAATAAATAAGCTGCAGAGACGATATTAGCGTCATAGTGAAGCATAATAAACTGGCTTCCCTCTCCCCTCCTACCTGTCTGCCATACACCAACAAGAGTCTTAAGTAAAGGTAAGTGTGATGTTAAATGTTCATTTATCCATTTTATTATTGCTTTACATATATAGGTAGTAGGTTGGTAGACAGCAACCATTCAGGGAGGTACTACCGTCCTGCCAAGTGAGTGTAAAACGAGAGCTTGTTAATTGTTTTACATGATGGTAGGATTGCTGGTGTCATTTGTCTGTCTCTGAAGGAGGGGTGTTAATGTTGCAGTTTTATAACTGTAGTGTAAAGCACTCCTCTGACAAGACAGTGATGAAGTGAATGATGATGAAAGTTTTTCTTTTTCGAGCCACCCTGCCTTGGAGGGAATCGGTCGATGTGTAATAAAAAAATATATTTGTCTCATAAATATGCAAGATTACATGTACGTCTTGCTACTTCTACTTACACTTAGGTCACACCACACATACATCTGAGTTTTCTTTGATTTAATCTTAATAGTTCTTGTTCTCATTACTTTTCCTATTATATCCATGGGGAAATGGAATAAGAATCTTTCCTCCGTAAGACATGCGTGTTGTAAAAGTCAACTAAAATGCTTGGAACAATGGGCTAGTAACCCCTTTTCCTGTAGTAGTAGTAGTAGTAGTAAGAGTAGTAAGAGGAGTAGTAAGAGGAGTAGTAAGAGGAGTAGTAAGAGGAGTAGTAAGAGGAGGAGGAAGAGGAGGAGGAAGAGGAGGAGGAGGAGGAGGAAGAGGAGGAGGAAGAGGAGGAGGAAGAGGAGGAGGAAGAGGAGGAGGAAGAGGAGGAGGAAGAGGAGGAGGAAGAGGAGGAAGAGGAGGAGGAAGAGGAAGAGGAGGAGGAAGAGGAGGAGGAAGAGGAGGAGGAAGAGGAGGAGGAAGAGGAGAGGAGGAGAAGAGGAGGAGGAAGAGGAGAGGAAGAGGAGAGGAAGAGGAGGAGGAAGAGGAGGAGAAGAGGAGGAGGAAGAGGAGGAAGAGGAGGAGGAAGAGGAGGAGGAAGAGGAGGAAGTTCGGAATGATTTGTTGTGTTTTTTCTTTTTTTTCAACATGTCGGTCCCCAAAAAGAAAATACTTTCATCATCATTCAACACTTTCACCTCACTCACACATAATCACTGTTTTTGCAGAGGTGCCCTGAATACAACAGTTTAGAAGTATTTTTTTTTTTTTCAACAAGTCGGCCATCTCCCACCGAGGCAGGGTGACCCAAAAAAGAAAGAAAATCCCCAAAAAGAAAATACTTTCATCATCATTCAACACTTTCACCTCACTCACACATTATCACTGTTTTTGCAGAGGTGCCCAGAATACAACAGTTTAGAAGCATATACATATAAAGATACACAACATATTCCTACAAACTGCCAATATCCCAAACCCCTTCTTTAACCCTTAAACGGTCCAAATGTATATATACGTTTTTTCAACATCTGAAAGTATGTAAAAAAACGTAATCTTCTTTTTTGTTTTACATTTGAAAACGTGTAAAAAAAACTTTTATCTACATTTTTTTTTGTTATATTTGAAAATATGTAAAAAAAAGTAAATCTACTTTTGTAGCATTACAAAAGTGCAGGCATTGTACTTCTCATTTCCAGGACTCAAGTCCAGTTATTCAAAATAACCGGTTTCCCTGAATCCCTTCACTAAATATTACCCTGCTCACACTCCAACAGATCGTCAGGTCCCAAATACCATTTGTCTCCATTCACTCCTATCTAATACGCTCATGCACGCTTGCTGTAAGTCCAAACCCCTCGCCCACAACACCTCCTTTACCCCCTCACTCCAACCTTTTCGAGGACGACCCCTACCCCGTCTTCCTTCCCCTACAGATTTATACGCTCTCCATGTCATTCTACTTTGATCCATTCTCTCTAAAGGACCAAACCACCTCAACAACCCCTCTTCAGCCCTATGACTAATACTTTTATTAACTCCACACCTTCTCCTAATTTCCACACTCCGAATTTTCTGCATAATATTTACACCACACATTGCTCTTGGACAGGATATCTCCACTGCCTCCAACTGCCTCCTCGCTGCAGCATTTACAACCCAAGCTTCACACCCATATAAGAGTGTTGGTACTACTATACTTTCATACATTCCCTTCTTTGCCTCCACAGATAACATTTTTTGCCTCCCCATATACCTCAATGCACCACTCACCTTTTTTCCTTCATCAATTCTATGATTAACCTCATCCTTCATAAATCCATCCACTGACACGTCAACTCCCAAATATCTGAAAACATTCACTTCTTCCATACTACTCCTCCCCAATTTGATATTCAATTTTTCTTTATCTAAATCATTTGATACTCTCATCACCTTACTCTTTTCTATGTTTACTTTCAACTTTCTACCTTAACACATATTCCCAAATTCGTCCACTAACCTTTGCAATTTTTCTTTAGAATCTCCCATAAGCACAGTATCATCAGCAAAAAGTAACTTTTTTTTTTTTTTTTTTTTTTTTTCAACAAGTCGGCCGTCTCCCACCAAGGCAGGGTGACCCAAAAAAGAAAGAAAATCCCCAAAAAGAAAATACTTTCATCATCATTCAACACTTTCACCACACTCTCAAATTATCACTGTTTTTGCTGAGGTGCTCAGAATACAACAGTTTAGAAGCATATACGTATAAAGATACACAACATATCCCTCCAAACTGTGTATCTTTATATATATATATATATATATATGCTTACTGAGTATACCAGGAAAAGTGTACGGTAGGGTTATAATTGAAAGAATTAGAGGTAAGACAGAATGTAGGATTGCGGATGAGCAAGGAGGTTTTAGAGTGGGTAGGGGATGTGTAGATCAGGTGTTTACATTGAAGCATATATGTGAACAGTATTTAGATAAAGATAGGGAAGTTTTTATTGCATTTATGGATTTAGAAAAGGCATATGATAGAGTGGATAGAGGAGCAATGTGGCAGATGTTGCAAGTATATGGAATAGGTGGTAAGTTATTAAATGCTGTAAAGAGTTTTTATGAGGATAGTGAGGCTCAGGTTAGGGTGTGTAGAAGAGAGGGAGACTACTTCCCGGTAAAAGTAGGTCTTAGACAGGGATGTGTAATGTCACCATGGTTGTTTAATATATTTATAGATGGGGTTGTAAAGGAAGTAAATGCTAGGGTGTTTGGGAGAGGGGTGGGATTAAATTATGGGGAATCAAATTCAAAATGGGAATTGACACAGTTACTTTTTTGCTGATGATACTGTGCTTATGGGAGATTCTAAAGAAAAATTGCAAAGGTTAGTGGATGAGTTTGGGAATGTGTGTAAAGGTAGAAAGTTGAAAGTGAACATAGAAAAGAGTAAGGTGATGAGGGTGTCAAATGATTTAGATAAAGAAAAATTGGATATCAAATTGGGGAGGAGGAGTATGGAAGAAGTGAATGTTTTCAGATACTTGGGAGTTGACGTGTCGGCGGATGGATTTATGAAGGATGAGGTTAATCATAGAATTGATGAGGGAAAAAAGGTGAGTGGTGCGTTGAGGTATATGTGGAGTCAAAAAACGTTATCTATGGAGGCAAAGAAGGGAATGTATGAAAGTATAGTAGTACCAACACTCTTATATGGGTGTGAAGCTTGGGTGGTAAATGCAGCAGCGAGGAGACGGTTGGAGGCAGCGGAGATGTCCTGTTTAAGGGCAATGTGTGGTGTAAATATTATGCAGAAAATTCGGAGTGTGGAAATTAGGAGAAGGTGTGGAGTTAATAAAAGTATTAGTCAGAGGGCAGAAGAGGGGTTGTTGAGGTGGTTTGGTCATTTAGAGAGAATGGATCACAGTAGAATGACATGGAAAGCATATAAATCTATAGGGGAAGGAAGGCGGGGTAGGGGTCGTCCTCGAAAGGGTTGGAGAGAGGGGGTAAAGGAGGTTTTGTGGGTAAGGGGCTTGGACTTCCAGCAAGCGTGCGTGAGCGTGTTAGATAGGAGTGAATGGAGACGAATGGTACTTGGGACCTGACGATCTGTTGGAGTGTGAGCAGGTAATATTTAGTGAAGGGATTCAGGGAAACCGGTTATTTTCATATAGTCGGACTTGAGTCCTGGAAATGGGAAGTACAATGCCTGCACTTTAAAGGAGGGGTTTGGGATATTGGCAGTTTGGAGGGATATGTTGTGTATCTTTATATGTTTATGCTTCTAGACTGTTGTATTCTGAGCACCTCTGCAAAAACAGTGATAATGTGCGAGTGTGGTGAAAGTGTTGAATGATGATGAAAGTATTTTCTTTTTGGGGATTTTCTTTCTTTTTTGGGTCACCCTGCCTCGGTGGGAGACGGCCGACTTGTTGAAAAAAAAAAAAAAAAAAAAAATATATGCTTCTAAACTGTTGCATTCTGGGTACCTCTGCTAAACTGATTATGTATGAGTGAGGTGAAAGTGTTGAATGATGAAGGAAGTATTTTCTTTTTGGGGATTTTTTCTTTCTTTTTGGTCACCCTGCCTCGGAGGGAGACGGCCAACTTGTTAAAAAAAAAAAAAAGTTTTCTGTATGTAAATCTATATTTAATCTTTAAATAAAATACTTTTTGTTAATACTTTTGGGTGTCTGAAATGGATTAACTGGATTTCCATTATTTCTTATGGGGAAAATGGTTTCGCCGTTCATGAATTTTGCCATTCAGCAGACTCTCTGGAACGAATTAAACATGAAACTCAGGGGCCCACTGTATACAGGAATAAGCAAATACAAGCCTTGTAAAGGCAGTGTGAGTGTGAGTTAATGGAGACAACCCCCTTTTTTTTTATTTTCCCTTTTACCTCGAACAGCTTCTTCTGCCTTGATCTTAGCCGAGGTAGCCTCTTGGAGTTCAGTGTTGTACTCTGCTTGTCTTTCTTTTAATGTTGCTAAAGCTTTGAGATCAGCTCCATGTAGCATAACTTCCCGCTCATACTTGTCTTGTACTTCAGCTGCCAGTCTGAAGGATAAATACTTTTATAAAATTCAATAAAAACTTTGCCACATCTAAATTTTAAACAAAAACCAATACATTTTTTTTTTAACTCAACAGCTGTCTCGTGCATATGCAAGGTGCCCCAAAGAAGCAAATACATTCACCATCATTCATTCAAAAACTTTCTTGCCAGAAGTGTGCTGATATCACAATTCAGTTGACAATGTATTAATTATTATATTCAGGGGAAAGTGCTAAATCTGTAGGAATTATACAAGTGCCTGAGAAACTGTAATCATGAACATTAAAATGGTATAAAATACCGACAGATTGTTAGGTAAGACACATATGCAACAGTTAGGTATCTTTATTATGAAACGTTTCGCCTACACAGTAGGCTTCTTCAGTCGAGTACAGAAAAGTTGATAGAAGCAGAAGAGACTTGAAGACGATGTAATCAGTCCATCACCCTTAAAGTTTTGAGGTGGTCAGTCCCTCAGTCTGGAGAAGAGCATTGTTCCAAAGACTGAAACAATATGGAGTCGAAGTGACAGGATGGAGCCTTATATAGCGCCAGGAGGCGAGACGTAGGTCACTAGTAGAACGCAGATGTTGGGAGGTCAGGTCCCTCTCAACTTCAGCCGTTCTCGCTAGTAGAGGTTGTCAAAGTTGATTTCAGGTCTGTACCAAGATACCCTTGTGTTGCAGTGTCTGACAGATTGAACATTAAAATGGTATAAAATACCGACAGATTGTTAGGTAAGACACACATGCTCTTCTCCAGACTGAGGGACTGACCACCTCAAAACTTTAAGGGTGATGGCTGATTACATCGTCTTCAAGTCTCTTCTGCTTCTATCAACTTTTCTGTACTCGACTGAAGAAGCCTACTGTGTAGGCAAAACGTTTCATAATAAAGATACCTAACTGTTGCATATGTGTCTTACCTAACAAACTGTAATCATGTTCGTTCCATGGAAGAGGACAGGTCTAATCCTTTACATCAAAACACCCTCACCAGCATCAAGGAACCTCCTTCTAGAGAAGTGGTCACGATCCAAAATTGGGTCACCATGGGACTAAGATTTTTTTATTAATAACGAAAATAATAATACAGCCTCTCCTCACTTAATGAAGTTCCGTTTCTAAGACCACATCGTTAAACGAATACGTCGCCAAATGAGGAGCATACTATAATGGTAGTGGGTTTGTGTCAACCATCTTTGATATTTTAATGTCACCTTTACACCATTTATAACATTTCTGATATATTTTTAAATGTATATACAGTAGTGTACTGTATATTGAAATCAACACAATAGAGGAAATCAGCTCTAATATACATTATTTAGGTATAAATACTGGCCATAGAGCCCATCCTAAGTCCAAGGCGTCGGTAAACGAGTTCGTCACTAAGTGAGGAGAGGCTTTAACCCTTTCACGGTTGGTACCGTACAAGTACAACTTGCATGCCAGGGTTGGTGTCTTACTAGTACGCATAAATTCTAGCACCTTCAAATTTAGCGAGAGAAAGCTGGTAGGCCTACATATGAAAGAACGAGTCTACGTGGTCAGTGTGTACAGTATAAAAAAATTCCTGCAGCACACAGTGCATAATGAGAGAAAAAACTCCATGTTTTTGGTTTAAAACAGCGACTTTGCAGTGTATTTTTGTATGGTATTTATGGTTGTATTCTAGTTTTCCTGGTCTCATTTTATAGAATGGAAGACATATTATAGAAATTGAGACGATTTTGATTGGTTTCACAATGAAAAGTACCTTGAAATTGAGTTCAAAGTAGCAGAAATGTTCGATTTTTGCCAAAGTTCAAAGGTAAACAAATCATGCCACACGTCCAATACACGTCAACTGGTGAGTGTAATATTCTTTCACAAGTGTCCTGATATTATTACACCATTTCTACACCACTTCTACACGAATGCAGTAGTCTGCATAACATAAATCTTCTATTTTTTGTGAGATTAAAATTCAAAGCGGAAAGCAAAAGAAATGTAACAGAGGCCTACAGACATGAGTAATGAACAGAAATGTTAGTTTAGTGCCAGAAATGCCTGTCATATTTATTCTGGACCCTATTTGGAAATTGGCATCTTTTGAAATTTGTGTGAAATTGGCAAAATTCCCAATTTCTGACCACGTTATTGGATAGTGGAAATCAGTAAATGGGTGGTTTTATGTACTCATTTGACAGAAAAAATGGAGTTCTAGCAAAATAGGTATGATTTTTCTTGACTGGTACATTGGAATTGGCCGAAAATATGGCTCAAAGTAGGCGAAATCGCCGATGCATAAACATAGTCGAGAACGCTAACTTTGCGAGAGCATAACTCCGTAAGTTTTCCATCAAATTTCATACTTTTGGTGTCATTATGACCAGGAAAAGATTCTCTATCATTTCATAAAAAAAAATTTTTTTTTTTTTTTTTGAAAAATTTCCGACCCTGAGAAAAAGTTTAGGAGAGGTCCTGCCGACCCTGAAAGGGTTAATAAAAATGGTAATATTTTTTTCATCAAACTGGCCATATGCCACCGAGGCAGGGTGACCTAAAAACAAAAATGTATACAGGAGAAGGGGTTACCAGCCCTTTGCTCCCGGCATTTTGGTTGCCATTTATGACATGCATGGCTTACTGAGGAAGAATTCTGTTCCACTTCCCCATGGAGAAGTACTATATTATTATATCCAGTATTACTTCATAACTAGCATTAAGCAGTTTTTTTTCTGTATTCTAAATCTTAGTTTCACAAGCTCACTCAATGTGGTGTACTTAAACCACAATGTGTTCTTTGTGGAGAAGTCTTGAGCAATGAATCATTCAAGCAAAGCAAAACAAGCTTAGAAGGCACTGGAAAGAAAAACACAGTGCACTTGTGAACAGAGAGCAGAGTTTCTTTGAACAGAAAGAATAAGAACTGAATCAGCACACTGGATGCTCCTACCAAAACAGCTTCTTACTCTGTGCGGCAAGCAACACTCGCTTTGTACCTTGGAGGATTACAAAAGTAAAGATGTCTCACACCATCAGTGAGAAATGGTGAAACCAGCACCGCTTAACCCTTTCAGGGTTTCGACCGTACTAGTACGGCTTACGCACCAGGGTTCTTGACGTACTAGTATGCCTAAATTCTAGCACCCTCAAATCTAATGAGAGAAAGCTGGTAGGCCTACATATGAAAGAATGGGTCTATGTGGTCAGTGTGCACGGCATAAAAAAAATCCTGCAGTACACAGTGCATAATTAGAGAAAAAAAAAACTTTGACCGTGTTTTTGGATTAAAACAGCGACTTTGCACTGTATTTTCGTATGGTATTTATTGTTGTATTCTAGTTTTTCTGGTCTCCTTTTATAGAATGGAAGACATATTACAGAAATTGAGATGATTTTGACTGGTTTTACAATGAAAAGTACCTTGAAATTGAGCTCAAAGTAGCAGAAATGTTTGATTTTTACCAAAGTTCAAAAGTAAACAAATCATGCTATGCGTCTAATACACGTCGACTGGCGAGTCTAATATTCTTTCACAAGTGCTGATATTATTTATACCATTTCTACACTAAGGCAGTAGTCTGCATAACAGTAAATCTTCTATTTTTTTGTGAGAATAAAATTTCAAAGTGGAAAGCAAAAGAATGTAAGAGGGGCATGGGGATGTGACTAATGAACAGAAGAAATGTTATTTTAGTGCCAGGAATGTCTTTCTTGTTTATTCTGGACCCTATTTGGAAATTGGCATCTTTTGAAATTTGTGTGAAATTGGCAAAATTGCTAAATTCTGACCACTGTATTGGATAGATGAAATCGGTAAATGGGTGGTTTCTTGTACTCATTCGATAGAAAAAATGGAGTTCTAGTGAAATAGTTATTATTTTTGTCGACTAGTACACTGGAATTGGCCGAAAATAGGGCTCAAAGTGGGCAAAATCGCTGATGCGTAAACATCGTCGAGACCACTAACTTCGCGAGAGAATAATTCCGCAAGTTTCCATCAAATTTCATACTTTTGCTGTCATTATGATCAGGAAAAGATTCTCTATCTTTTCACAAGAAAAAATTTTTTTTTTTCTTTTTTTTTTGAAATTTGGGCGACCCTGAGAACAAGTCTCTGAGAGGGCCTGTCGACCCTGAAAGGGTTAAGATGGTGCAGACAAATTGTGGAAGTGAGGCTGCAAAGAAAACTGAAGTGATACAAATGACCAGTTTAGTCTCCAGCTGGATAAATCTGCAAATGTTAGTGATGATGCCCAACTCATGGCTTAAGAACAGAATCAAGGTCCAGAAGATATGGAAGAGGAGCTTGTTCTGCCAGCCATTAGACACCACCACAAATGGAGAAAATATTTTCAAGATTGCAGATTCATTCTTTAAGGAAAAAGAACTTCAGTGAAATCAGTGTTACAGCGTCTGTTGTGATGGTGCACCAACAATGTTAGGAGAAATGTAGGAGTTTCACTGCTTGAGCAAAAGAGGAAAATGTGTGCATTTTGATTTTGGTTCAGAGCATGTGCATCTGTTATATCACTCTGAGGTTAGTGGCTGTCACAAGGATTCTCCAATGATTGTTTGAAATGCTGAATGAGACTGAGATATTTTAGGTTGAAAAAATCATTCATCCATTGTCCTCAAAATTTTCAGATTAAAAAATGGATGAGGCAAGTGGCTTATCTTGCCAATATTTTTGCTGAGATTAATGCCTTGAACAATATAATGCAAGGTTGCAATCAGATGTTGGTAAGGCTGTCACAGAAACCAACAGCATTCAGGGGAAAAATTGAAGATGGGAAAGAGTAAAAGTGAGGCTGTAATGATTGCATCATTTTAATCCTTGACAGCACTTCTAGAGAACAAAACATTTTCACTCATTCAGGTTCAAAGCATCTTCATGAAACATTTACCAACTGATTACAGAGTTTGATAGCTATATTCCTAAGAATGCGATGAAATGCACTTGGGTAGAAACCACTTCAACACTGAACCTGAAGACCTACTTGATGATACTATGAACATCAGCAAACTACAGAAGCAGCTCATCAAGATTAATAATGACAAAACACTTCAATATGGTTTTAAAAAACAAAAAGATATAACGAATTCATTCTGGATTAAAGTTTACAAAGAAAAGTAGATTCTTGGAAGTGAAGCCCTAAAAGTGCTCATTTCCTTTGTTATAACTTTCCTGTGCTAGGTGGGATCTTTGGCAGCCACTGTCACAAAGATAAAGTACAGAAATCACCTACAATCAGAGTATGACACAAGATGTAGTCAGTCATCTAAAGTACCCCGATTTAAGGAGCTCATTGAAACCATAGTGCCAGGGATCTCATTATTTATGGATACATCTGACGATACGCCAATCCCTTAAACTGTCCAAGCAGATCTATGTTCACATGCGTAGTGCTCCAAAAGTAGATCTACGCTTTTTTTACATATTTTCAAATATAACAAAGAAAAAATAGATCAAAGTTTTTTTTACACGTTTTCAAATGTAAAAAAAGAAAAGATCTACGTTTTTTACATACTTTCAAATGTTGAAAAAACGTAGATCTACGTTTGGACAGGGTTAAGGATACTCATTATTGATTCTTGTTTATTTGCCCCATTAATATGCTGTTTACGTTTTGTTTGTAGTCACACTTCTTTTAAGAACCAAGATAATTTTTTCATTTATGTTGTAAATTAAGGTTATGAACATATGGGTTGCCATGTAGATTCTTGACAGGATTTTGGGTCACTTGCCATAAAAAGTTATTAACCACTGCTCTAGGGGTCAGTGTTTTATGTCGTACTTTTCAGGCTGAGTTGTCAAGGAAGGCAATCTACACTAAAAATACACAATGTCAAGCATTTTCTGTTATTCATTTATAACAGTGACCAATTTTTATTTGTGTACCAAAACTAATTTGACAATCCAATGTAACTTAATAAACATTACATAATTTAGCTTAATTATACCCAAATTATCCTAGGCCAGCCTAAACTTACTGAATTTAATGTCAGTGGAAATACTGTATGTTCATTTCCTAATATTCAAAAAGGATGAAAGGATATAAGTTTGTCTATACTGGATAAATTTTTGTCCTAGGACCTTGATCATTTCAAATAAGCTCCCACAACCAAAACATATCCAATAAGAATGTTGTTTGTGTGCAATTGTATCCTTTCATCCAATTTGTTGGAATCAATATACCTTCTACATTTGTATTCTGGAGAATTTTTTGTGGAAATAATGCAACAAACAACTTACCTTCAGATTGCTTAGCAAAATGATCATTGTTATAAACCAAGATCACAGACTCTACCTTAAAAAAAAAACACTAACCCAAAACAATCATAATAACTTTTTGATCATATTGGCCACAGTTTAAAGTTAACTGTTAAATCAAATTAAACAATCTTCATTAATTCACATTTTACATACTTGGACTGCTCCTGAGCCTCCTTTTTGGCACATTCTTCTTCTTCTTTTGCTTTCTGAAGAGCTTCCTTTACATCACTTAGTTCTTTCTGACAAACCTGCAACTCCTCTTCGGTCTGTCAAAATAATAACAGTTTATCAGAGATTTGTGCCCCTCTTCACTGGAGGAAGAGGCTATCACAGATAGAATGCAGTTAAAAAAATGAAGACCTCCAATTCAAAATTTTGAAGACTCTAAGGAATTCAACTGAAAAAACACTGAATGCAAAATCAATTCTAATTCCACCATACTCTACAGGAGAACTCAAATGAAATTTTGAAATTAATTCTACATCCCGTATAAAAAAAAAAACACGCAAAGTCAAACCTGTGGAGCTTGGTAATTTCTGACATTTTAAAGTACAGAGAGAGAGATGTTTGTGGTACAGAACAGATACTTGTATAATGATTTTATAAAGATGTTTGTACCTTCGCCAATTTGGATTTCAGGAGAAGTGCAGCAGTTTCCCCCTCTTCTATTGCATCCTTTAACTGGTTTTCTAATTTCTCAAGCTGTGCTTCTGTTGCTTGAAGTTCCTTCTGCAATTTTGTGTATCTGATGGGGAAATATTTAATAAAGAATTAGCTTAACATCTTATAAGCCTATGAGGCAATTAAAATGATCTTGGTCCAGCACTTTTCTAGCACAGCAAATTTAACAGTTAACTACACAGCCTCAAGAGATACTTAGCTGTATAACTTACCATCAGCAGAAAGAATAAAACACATACTGTACAGTTATGCTTTTAAATGCTAAAAATACAAACTCAATAAAAATCCCCCTCCCAGTTGGGGGAAAAAAAAATTAAAGCTTGTATCCTGAAGTTTTGGACCGCTTAATCCAAACTGCCTAGTATCAAAGAACTTTCTTGGAAAACCTATGGACATCCTTCACATCCAGGCATTGCATTTCATTTCAATATACTTGAGTCCTGGAAATGGGAAGTACAATGCCTGCACTCTAAAAAAGGGGTTTGGGATATTGGCAGTTTGGAGGGATATGTTGTGTATCTCTATAGGTATATGCTTCTAAACTGTTGTATTCTGAGCACCTCTGCAAAAACAGTGATAATGTGTGAGTGTGGTGAAAGTGTTGAATGATGATGAAAGTATTTTCTTTTTGGGGATTTTCTTTCTTTTTTGGGTCACCCTGCCTTGGTGGGAGACGGCCGACTTGTTGAAAAAAAAAAAATACATTTTAATAAATCAGGATGTCAAAATCCCCCTTTAAACCTAGTTACCCAACAGTGTCTAACCCCTGTTCCTAAAGTGGACAATGGGGCAATGATGACTGATGATAAAAAAATATTACCTTGCTTACAATATTGAATAGTATTAATAGAACTTCTCCCAGCCCCTGTTCTTCACATTATCCATGTCACCCCCCAAGAAAGAAACACATTCACCATTACTCCTAGGACAGCTGTCATGTTGTGAGTGATGGGCATGACAAGTCAAGTAACATTTCAAACTGTAATGCCTACCCAATCTTAAAAGTGTAAGTACTATACTTTCCACCTCCAGAATTCAAATTCCCATGAATTATGCTAAATGGGAAAGTAACTGTCATGATGTAATATTGATATTTTAAAGAAAAATGTAACACACCAGCCATCTCCCACCAAGGTAGGGTGACCTGAAAAAAAAAAAAAAAGTACTTTGCACACACACATCAAGAGAACATCAAGTCATAAAAATCATTTGTCTCCACTCACTCCTATTTAACACACTCACGCACACTTGCTGGAAAGTCCAAGCCCCTCGGGCACAGAACTTCCTTTACCCCTTCCATCTAACCTTTCCTAGGCTGACCCCTACACCACCTTCCTTCCACTACAGATTTATATGCTCTCCAAGTCATTCTATTTCATTCCATCATCTCTAAGTGTCCAAACAACCTAAACAATCCCTCCTCAGCCCTCTGTATAATACTTTTAGTAAACCTGCACCTCCTCCTAATTTCCAAACTACAGATTCTCTTCATAATATTCACACCACACACAGCCCTCAGACACAACATTCATCAACTATGCTTCACACCCATATAAGAGTATTAGTATAACTATACTCTTATATATTCCCCCTCTTTGCTTCCATGGATAACATCCTGTCTCCACAGACCCCTCAGTGCACCATTCACCTTTTTCCCCCCTCATCAATTCTATGATTCACTTCATCTTTCATAGACCCATCTGCTGACAAGTCCACTCCCAAATTGTATCTGAATACATTCACTTCCTCCATACTCCCTCCCTCCAATCTGATATACAATATTTCATCACCTAAATTTTTCATTATCCTCATCACTTTACTCTTTCCTATGTTCATTTTTAATTTCTTTCTTTTTTTTTTTTCCCACAAACCGGCCGTATCCCACCGAGGCAGAGTGGCCCAAAAAGAAAAAAACGAAAGTTTCTCCTTTCACATTTAGTAATATATACAGGGGAAGGGGTCAATAGCCCCTCACTCCCGGCATTTTAGTCGCCTCTGACAACATGCATGGCTTACGGAGGAAGAATTCTGTTCCACTTCCCCATGGAGGTAGGAGGAAATAAACAAGAACTAGAAAGAAAATAGAAGAAAACCCAGAGGGGTGTGTATATATATGCTTGTACGTGACCCAAGTTTAAGTAGAAGTAGCAAGATGTACCTGAAATCTTGCATGTTTATGAGACAGAAAAAAGACACCAGCAATCCTACCATCATGTAAAACAATTACAGACATTCGTTTTATACTCACTTGCCAGGATGGTAGTACCTCTCTAGGCGGCTGCTGTCTACCAACCTAAAACCTAGGTCTTTCTTTTATATACCCTACCAAAGTCATCCACTAACCTCTACAACTTCTCTTCAGAATCTCCCAAAAGCAGAGTGTCATCAGCAAGAAGCAACTGTAACAGCTCCCACTTTGTGTTAGATTCTTTATTTTTTTAATCCCACACCTCTTGCCAACACCTAAGCATTCACTTCTCTTACAACTCCATCTATAAATATACTGAACCATGGTGACATCACACATCCCTGTCTAAAGCCTACTTTTACTAGGAAATACTCTCCCTCTCTCCTACATTTAAGAATCATCTTCTTTCAGCAAACTGGCTGTATCCCAACGAAGCAGGAACAAGAACAAGAACAAGAACTAGTAAGGAAATAGAAGAAAACCCAGATGGGTGTGTATATATGTGTGTACATACATGTGTAATGTGACCTAAGTGTAAGCGTAAGTAGCAAGACCTACTTGAAATTCTGCATGGTTATGAGACAGAAAAAAGACACCAGCTATCCTACCATCATGTAAAACAATTACAGGTACCATCCGACTTACGACCAAGCTTGGTTCTGACCAGCTGGTCCTAAGTCAAAATGGACGTAAGTCAAAACCTTACTACTGAATATCAAAATCACATTTTTGTAATGATTATATTTTATTGTTTTATTTTGGTATTTCATTTTTTACTTTACTTTTTATGCTGTTTGTACTGCATTTTATACTGTAAGGTTTAGGATAAAAACACTGTACAACACAAACAGTTGTTAATTTCCCAGAAATTTGGCATACAAAACATGGTCGTAAGTCGAGTGGTCATATGTCGAGCAGTTCATGAGTCGGATGGCAGGTGTACAGGCTTCCATAAAACACTCACTTGCAGGACAGTAGTACCTTCCTGGGCAGTTGCTGTCTCCCAACCTACTACCTAGGACATTTAAGAATATCAACTTAAAAAAACTTACTCTTCATTAGCTGTCTTGCAGGCTTCATTCGACTCTTCTAGCTGCTTTTCATGCTGTTTGTTTAACTCAAGCAATTCCTTTTCAAAGCGCTTTGATTGTTCATGAGCAGCCTGAAGCACTGCGTGCTTGCTCTTTTCCTCAGCCAGCTGAATCTCTAAGTCACGGACATGCGGCGATGGGCCTGTCATGCGGAATGGCATTGGAGACCTCATAGGGCTGTTACCTGTAAAAAGTCATATTTAAATAATATCACAAAATTTTGTATCTGAAGAATCAAACTTGATGTGGAAAGGAAAAGATCCCAAATTAGAGGAAAGAAATGTTACTGCCAAATTTGTTTAGCAATTAAATAATATTAGTTTCAATGTTTTGCTTCTATTTTTGTTTTCCATGGCCATGTTCAACGTTTATGAAAACTTAGTTAATTTTTTTTTAACAAGTCGGCCATCTCCCACCGAGGCAGGGTGACCCAAAAAGAGAGAAAATCCCAAAAAAGAAAATACTTTCATCATCATTCAACACTTTCACCTCACTTATACATAATCACTGTTTTTACAGTGGTGCCAAGAACACAACAGTTTAGAAGCATATATGTATAAGATATACAATATATCCCTCCAAACTGCCAATATCCCAAACTCCTCCTTTAAAGTGCAGACACTGTACTTCCCATTTCCAGTATTCAAGTCCGGCTATATAAAAATAACCAATTTCCCTGAATCCCTTCACTAAATATTACCTTGCTCACACTCCAACAGCTCGTCAGGTTCCAAACACCATTTGTCTCCATTCACTCATATCTAACACGCTCACGCACGCTTGCTGGAAGTCCAAGCCTCTTGCCCACAAAACCTAGTTTACCCCCTCCCTCCAACCTTTTCAAGGACGACCCCTACCCCGCCTTCCTTCCCCTACAGATTTATACGCTCTCCATGTCATTCTACTTTGATCCATTCTCTCTAAATGACCAAACCACCTCAACAATGCCTTGTCAGCCCTCTGACTAATACTTTTATTAACTCCACACCTTCTCCTAGCTTCCACACTCCGAATTCTCTGCATAATATTTACATCGCACATTGCCCTTAGACAGGACATCTCCACTGCCTCCAACTGCCTCCGCTGCAGCATTTATAACCCAAGCTTCATACCCATATAAGAGTGTTGGTACCACTATACTTTCATACATTTCCTTCTTTGCCTCCATAGATAATGCTTTTTGTCATCAATTCTATGGTTAACCTCATCCTTCATAAATCCATCCGCTGACACATCAACTCCCAAATATCTGAAAACATTCACTTCTTCCATACTCCTCCTCTCCAATTTGATATCCAATTTTTCTTTATCAAAATCATTTGATACCATCATCACCTTACTCTTTTCTAAGACCACTTTCAACTTTCTACCTTTACACTCTCTCAAACTTGTCCACTAATGTTTGCAACTTTTCTTCAGAATCTCCCATAAGCACAGCATCATCAGCAAAAAGTAACTGAATTCTCATTTTGTATTTGATTTCCCATATATTCATCCCACCCCTCTCCCCAACACCCCTAGTATTTACTTCTTTTACAACCCCATCTATAAATATATTAAACAACCATGGTGACATTACACATCCCTATCTAAGACCTACTTTTACCAGAGGTAATCTCCCTCTCTTCTACACACCCTAACCTGAACCTCACTATCCTCATAAAAACTCTTTACAGCATTTAGTAACTTACTACCAATATTCCATATACTTGCAACATCTGCCACATTGTTCCCCTATCCACTCTATCATACACCTTTTCTAAATCCATAAATGCAATGAAAACTTCCCTAACTTTATCTAAATACTGTTCACATATATGCTTCAATGTAAACACTTGATCTACACATCCCCTACCCACTCTAAAACCTCCTTGCTCATCCACAATCCTACATTCTCTCTTGCCTCTAATTCTTTCAGTAATAACCCTACCATACACTTTTCCTGGTATACTCGGTAAACTTATTCCTCTATAATTTTTACAGTCTCTTTTGTCCCCATTCCCTTTATATAAAAGAATTATACATGCTCTCTGCCAAGCCCTAGGTACCTTCCCCTCTTTCGTACATTTATTATATTCCCGCCGTCTACCCAATACCTCCATCTCCCCATCTACTAACTCGCCTACTCTGTTTTCAACTGACAAATCCATTCATTCCCTAGGTTTTCTTAACTTGTTTATCTCACTCTACCCCTGGCACCCCAAATTTACCTACTACTCCCTCCACAACATTTTTATCCACTTTAGTTAATTTATCACAAATTTTGGATTTGGGCACAAATTACTACCTGCCTAAATCTAAGAGCTTCATAACTTGGAGCACACTATCACAAGAACTTCATATTATGTTTAGTTATAACAGGTCATGATGAACAGGCAGAGTGAACATTAAAATGGTATAAAATACCGACAGGTTGTTAGGTAAGACACATATGCAACAGTTAGGTATCTTTATTATGAAACGTTTCGCCTACACAGTAGGCTTCTTCAGTCAAGTACAGAAAAGTTGATAGAAGCAGAAGGTACTTGAAGACGATGTAATCAGTCCATCACCCTTAAAGTTTTGAGGTGGTCAGTCCCTCAGTCTGGAGAAGAGCATTGTTCCATAGTATGAAACAATATGGAGAAGAAGTGACAGGATGGAGCTTTTTATAGCGCCAAGAGGTGAGACGTAGGCCATTAGGAGAGGTAAGAACTCAGATGTTGAGAAGTCAGGTCTGGATTTGAGAGGGACCTGACTTCTCAACATCTGAGTTCTTACCTCTCCTAATGGCCTACGTCTCACCTCTTGGCGCTATAAAAAGCTCCATCCTGTCACTTCTCCATATTGTTTCATACTATGGAACAATGCTCTTCTCCAGACTAAGGGACTGACCACCTCAAAACTTTAAGGGTGATGGACTGATTACATCGTCTTCAAGTACCTTCTGCTTCTATCAACTTTTCTGTACTTGACTGAAGAAGCCTACTGTGTAGGCGAAACGTTTCATAATAAAGATACCTAACTGTTGCATATGTGTCTTACCTAACAACAGGCAGAGTTTATGTACAATACAAAGATACTTAAAATATTTTTAATCTGAAGACTGTATTAATATTGGTAGAATTACTGACAATATGTTAAGTAAAAGGACACTTATGCAAGTAATGTGACATTTTACTTTGGCAATATTTCGCTCTCCAGGAGGTTTATCAAGCTGTTACAAACAATACACGGACACAGAGAATATATAAATAGGCTTAGAGTGAGGTGAAATACTAGTGGTAGAAGTAGCAATAATATTAGTTGTAGTAGTAGTAGTAATAATATTAGTTCTAGTAGTAGTAGAATACAATATGATATCGTTTGTAACAGCTTGATAAAGCTCCAGGAAAGTGAAACGTTGCCACAATAAAATGTCAAATTAGTTGCATCTGTGTCCTTTTATTTAACAAATCTGAAGATTATTTACCTCTAGCTCTGGCTCCTGGAGATGGCATAGCTCTTGCCCTCTCTTGAAGTTCATTCATCCGAGTTTTGGTGGATGCTAACTCTGCCTTAACATCCAACAACTGCTTAGTGGTGGCTGAATGTTCACCCTGCATGGTGCGAATTCGTCCCTCTAATTCACTCACTCTATGCAGTGATTATGATTAAATATATTAATGTAAACTACATACTGTATATGAAAAGTAACTAATGACTCATTCCAGCTATCCTGCCCAATAATGTTGTTAAAACACTCTTATATTATCACATGATAGGTATCCATTTTAACAAAAAGTAATAACCAAATTTAACACTGCACAATACTGAAAACACAGAAACTAAACTTACTTCTCTTGTGCTGCTTTAAGGTCAGAATTTGATGCCAGCTTGGCTCTTAGGCGGCTAACTTGCTCAGTCAGCTCTGCAACTCTATTTTCATACCTCATTTGCTCATCAGAGTCCCTGCGCTCTAAGTTGATCTTAATACTTTCCAGATTAGCAAGCACCATCGCCTGGGATGTTTGTCCTCGGCTAAGGGACTCACGCTCTGCCAAAAGTCTTGCTTCTGTTTCCTAAAGAAAAAACAGAATAAATAAATTTTCAAAATTAATGCTAACAATAGCACATTATCTTATAATGATGCCATGATATGACTAAGGAAATAATAAGCAAAGGATAGCAACCTACCTACCCATCATAGTAAAATTATCCAGTTTTAAAAAACAATTTAGGAAAAATCAAACACAGTGTATCTCTATCATATATGAAATATTGGAACTTCAGGAAGGTGCTACCATCCTGCCAAATGAGTGTGAAATGCACACCTATAATTGTCTTACACACTGGTAGGATTGCCCTCTCATAAACATGCAATTTCTACTTACACTTAGGTCACACTACACCTGCATGTACAGGAGGGCCCCGCTTTACGGCATTTCACTTTACGGCGTTCCGCTAATACGGTCATTTCAAATTATGACCAAAACTTGCTATACGGCTCCCCCCACCTGACTTTCTAATACGGTCACCGTGCCCCACCCTGTTTGTTTACATTCTCCGTGAGCTCAGTAAGCACTAAGTCTCTCCATTTTGTCTGGAAACTCCAAAATTTCAAATGTTTTTAAAAGTTATTTCATATTTTATATATACTCTGATAATTATACTTATGTATACCTGTACCTAAATAAACTTACATACTGTGCTGGCATGCAGGTACACATTAAAATCGGTAAGTGTCTTATGTCTCCAGACGTCATATTAGTAATGATAATAATAATCATCGAGTCATTTAAATGTCGTATATTACGTTAATATACACATTTTCATTAATCCATCTATGATATTTTTTCAAAATTATATAATAAACATGATGCATAACATATAAATAAGATAAATACACCCCACAGTAGAATAAATAAACATAAATGTGAGATGTGGTAGCAGACCACTTGCACAAGTGACGCCATATTAGAAATGATAACAATAATAATAATAATAATACTCACCGAGTCTCATTAAATGTCATATATTACGTTAATATACACATTTTCATTAATCCATCCATGATATTTTTTTTCAAAATTATATAATAAACACGATTCATAACATAAAAAGATGATAAATACACCCCACAATAGAATAAATAAACATAAATATAAGATGTGGGAGCCAGATAACTTGTACAAGTGACGGCAAGAATAACATTTTCTCTAATCTAACATAAGAGAAAATGTGTTACTGGGGGTAACTGTAGAAAATTATTCCTTTCGAATGTATGTAAGTAAGTTTATTCAGGTATACACAAATACAGTTACATAGATTATCATACATAACAACATATGTGTAGAGAACCTAGGATAACCCAAAAAAGTCAGTGTGACTTATTTCCATTGCCTTCACTCAGAGCTTCATTTCTTCTCAAAATGAGGTTACATGAGAATGGGAGTGTTCTTCTTTATTAATTCTACCGTATCAATGTAGAGACAACCTGTACACAATGTAACTTGTACACAAACCAGACGTGTACACTTCGTTTGTTTACAAAACTTACGTTTGCCTGGTTTGTTTACATAACTCTGCGCCTGTCCCCTCTCATGTACTCATTCTTTCTCTCTCTCATTTATTCGTTTTATCTCATTTACTTACTCCTGACCCTACATTAAGACTACAAATATTTTAAGGTAAGTAATGAGTGAACTGTATATACATTTTATCGCTCTGGGATGCTTAAATATCATAGAATATATGTGTGGGTGCAGGAGGAAAGAGGAGTGATTGGTGGAATGATGAAGTAAAGGGTGTGATAAAAGAGAAAAAGGTAGCTTATGAGAGGTTTTTACAAAGCAGAAGTGTTATAAGAAGAGCAGAATATATGGAGAGTAAAAGAAAGGTAAAGAGAGTGGTGAGAGAGTGCAAAAGGAGAGCAGATGATAGAGTGGGAGAGGCACTGTCAAGAAATTTTAATGAAAATAAGAAAAAATTTTGGAGTGAGTTAAACAAGTTAAGAAGCCAAGGGAAAATATGGATTTGTCAGTTAAAAACAGAGTAGGGGAGTTAGTAGATGGGGAGATGGAGGTATTAGGTAGATGGCGAGAATATTTTGAGGAACTTTTAAATGTTAAGGAAGAAACAGAGGCAGTAATTTCATGCACTGGTCAGGGAGGTATACCATCTTTTAGGAGTGAAGAAGAGCAGAATGTAAGTGTGGGGGAGGTACGTGAGGCATTACGTAAAATGAAAGGGGGTAAAGCAGCTGGTACTGATGGGATCATGACAGAAATGTTAAAAGCAGGGGGGATATAGTGTTGGAGTGGTTGGTACTTTTGTTCAATAAATGTATGAAAGAGGGGAAGGTACCTAGGGATTGGCGGAGAGCATGTATAGTCCCTTTATATAAAGGGAAAGGGACAAAAGAGACTGTAAAAATTATGAGGAATAAGCTTACTGAGTATACCAGGAAAAGTGTACGGTAGGGTTATAATTGAAAGAATTAGAGGTAAGACAGAATGTAGGATTGCGGATGAGCAAGGAGGTTTCAGAGTGGGTAGGGGATGTGTAGATCAAGTGTTTACATTGAAGCATATATGTGAACAGTATTTAGATAAAGGTAGGGAAGTTTTTATTGCATTTATGGATTTAGAAAAGGCATATGATAGAGTGGATAGAGGAGCAATGTGGCAGATGTTGCAAGTATATGGAATAGGTGGTAAGTTATTAAATGCTGTAAAGAGTTTTTATGAAGATAGTGAGGCTCAGGTTAGGGTGTGTGAAGAGAGAGAGGAGACTATTTCCCGGTAAAAGTAGGTCTTAGACAGGGATGTGTAATGTCACCATGGTTTTTAATATATTTATAGATGGGGTTGTTAAGGAAGTAAATGCTAGGGTGTTTGGGAGAGGGGTGGGATTAAATTATGGGGAATCAAATTCAAATGGGAATTGACACAGTTACTTTTTGCTGATGATACTGTGCTTATGGGAGATTCTAAAGAAAAATTGCAAAGGTTAGTGGATGAGTTTGGGAATGTGTGTAAAGGTAGAAAGTTGAAAGTGAACATAGAAAAGAGTAAGGTGATGAGGGTGTCAAATGATTTAGATAAAGAAAAATTGGATATCAAATTGGGGAGAGGAGTATGGAAGAAGTGAATGTTTTCAGATACTTGGGAGTTGACGTGTCGGCGGATGGATTTATGAAGGATGAGGTTAATCATAGAATTGATGAGGGAAAAAGGTGAGTGGTGCGTTGAGGTATATGGTGGAGTCAAAAAACGTTATCTATGGAGGCAAAGAAGGAATGTATGAAAGTATAGTAGTACCAACACTCTTATATGGGTGTGAAGCTTGGGTGGTAAATGCAGCAGCGAGGGAGACGGTTGGAGGCAGTGGAGATGTCTGTTTAAGGGCAATGTGTGGTGTAAATATTATGCAGAAAATTCGGAGTGTGGAAATTAGGAGAAGGTGTGGAGTTAATAAAAGTATTAGTCAGAGGGCAGAAGAGGGGTTGTTGAGGTGGTTTGGTCATTTAGAGAGAATGGATCAAAGTAGAATGACATGGAAAGCATATAAATCTATAGGGAAGGAAGGCGGGGTAGGGGTCGTCCTCGAAAGGGTTGGAGAGAGGGGGTAAAGGAGGTTTGTGGGTAAGGGGCTTGGACTTCCAGCAAGCGTAGCGTGAGCGTGTTAGATAGGAGTGAATGGAGACGAATGGTACTTGGACCTGACGATCTGTTGGAGTGTGAGCAGGGTAATATTTAGTGAAGGGATTCAGGGAAACCGGTTATTTTCATATAGTCGGACTTGAGTCCTGGAAATGGGAAGTACAATGCCTGCACTTTAAAGGAGGGGTTTGGGATATTGGCAGTTTGGAGGGATATGTTGTGTATCTTTATATGTGTATGCTTCTAGACTGTTGTATTCTGAGCACCTCTGCAAAAACAGTGATAATGTGCGAGTGTGGTGAAAGTGTTGAATGATGATGAAAGTATTTTCTTTTTGGGGATTTTCTTTCTTTTTTGGGTCACCCTGCCTCGGTGGGAGACGGCCGACTTGTTGAAAAAAAAAAAAAAAAAAAAAAAAAATATGTGTGGGTGGGTTGGCCTGGTATGGTAGCCTGGCTGACTACCATACATACCACACTTGATTTTTTACACTAAATACTACTCATCTCACCCTATATTTTAAGGTAAGTAATGAGTGAACTGTATATACATTTTATCGCTCTGGGATGCTTAAATATCATAGAATATATGTGTGGGTGGGGTGGCCTGGTAAGGTAGCCTGGCTGACTACCATACATACCACACTTGATTTCTTACAATAAATACTACTTATCTCACCCTAGATTAAGACTATAAATATTTTAAGGTATAAGTAATGAGTGCACTATGTGTGTATTGTACTTTTTTATTGTTTTTTGATGCCTGGTTCTATTGCTAACTTAATATATGTTAGTGTAAACTTGTTATCTAGTGTTTGTATGCATTTATAAGTGGAAAAAAAGGGTGTTCCACTTTACGGCGGTTTCCGCTTTACGGCGGTAGCCTGGAACCTAACCTGCCGTGTAAGTGGGGCCCTGCTGTATATGTATATGTATACACACCCATTTGAGTTTTCTTCTATTTTTTTATTAGCTCTTGTTCTTACTTATTTTCCTTTCATCTCCATGGGGTAATGGAAAAGAATTTTTCCTCCATAAGCCATGCGTGTCGTAAAAGGCAACTAAAATGCTGGGAATAAGGGATTAGTAATCCCTTCTCATGTATAAATTACTAAAATATAAAAAAAAAACTTTATAATTTGGATGTTTGAATGTGAATGGATGTAGCGAGGATGATAAGAAAGAGAAGATTCTCAATATTAAAGAAAAGAAGCTGGATGTCCTGGCTCTAAGCAAAACAAAGCTGATATTCATGTAAATTAAAACATTAGAAAAATCAAATTATCAATAATCTAACCTTCAGCAAAGTTCTTTCCTCTCGAAGATTATCTAAAGAAATTTCTGCTCGTGAAAGTTTCTTTTGCAGAATCAAGTATTCATTACGAAGTGTTTCTATTGTGCCCTCATGGCGTCCTATGATACCTGGAAAGCATACAAAGCTTTATCATCATATAATGTTAATAAAATTTTTCATTTTAAAGTAATTCACTGGAGGAAATTAATGGCAGGCATAACTAACCCATGAATGAATCTAGTGAGAGGTAAAGTGATTCTTTAGGTACCAATTATTCATGAGATGAAGTGTATTTTCAATAAAAGAAAAAATATCATCTGTAAAAATTAAAAAGATCACAAAATTCATAAAAAAAAAAAAAAAATTACTAAGTAATCAGGTGTATACGGGCTAAATTATCCTAATGGCTATAATCACAAACATGATTTTTAGAGGAAGACCAGTAAGCTAGCAGAAGTCTTCAGCTAGATGACCAAAAGCTCCAGCTATTTGTCATCATATGACAGACTCACATCTGGAAACACTTGTCCTCTTTCCTGCCAAACATTATATGTACATATGAACAGCTTCCCCCCCCCCCCCCCCAAGATTCAGAGACAATTCTGTTTTTTTTTTTTTAACAAGTCGGCCGTCTCCCACCAGAGGCAGGGTGACCCAAAAAGAAAGAAAATCCCCAAAAAGAAAATACTTTCATCATCACTCAACACTTTCACCTCACTCATACATAATCAGTTTTTACAGAGGTGCCCAGAATACAACAGTTTAGAAGTATATACGTAAAAAGATACACAACATATTCCTCCAAACTGCCAATATCCCAAACCCCTCCTTTACAGTGCAGGCATTGTACTTCCCATTTCCGTACTCAAGTCCTGCTATATAAAAATAACTGGTTTCCCTGAATCCCTTCACTAAATATTACCCTGCTCGCACTCCAACAGCTCGTCAGGTCCCAAATACCATTCATCTCCATTCACTCCTATCTAACACGCTCACGCACGCTTGCTGAAAGTCCAAGCCCTTCGCCCGCAAAACCTCCTTTACCCCATCCCTCCAACCTTTTCGACCCCTACCCCGCCTTCCTTCCCCTACAGATTTATACGCTCTCCATGTCATTCTACTTTGATCCATTCTCTCTAAATGACGAAACCACTTCAACAACCCCTCTTCAGCCCTCTGACTAATACTTTTATTAAATCCACACCTTGTCCTAATTTCCACAGCCTCCAAAGACAAGAACTAAAGTCTCATTGCAAATTACTTGTAATCTCCATTTGACATGCATTAGAAAATTTGTCGTAATAATTCTCCCAGTAAAGGTGACATTAACATTAATAGGCAACAAGACTGATAAATGTAATTAATAAAATGGTAAAATATGATAAATTCTAAATACTTCAAAGTATACCTAGATTTCTTGCCAATTTTCTCTTGTATCATACCTTGCAGAGTGGAATTATTTTTTTCCAAAGACGCAATCTGCCGCCGTAGTACCTCAGTATTATTCTGCAGTGTCTTCATCCTCTCATCATTGTACTCTGCCTGTGACACTAACTTAATATTTTCATTCCTGCCAATAAGAATTAAAATACTGTTAAAGACAGTGTGCATGTCTGAATGTATATTTTTTTAAAATGTCGGCCATCTCCCACCGAGGCAGGATGCCCCCAAAAAAAAGAAACACTTTCACCACCATTCACATAATACCACCATCTTTGCAGAGGCACTCAGATATGACAGTTTAGATGTACCAAACAGCCAATATCCCAAACCCCTCCTTTAAAGTGCAGTTAATATACTTCCCACCTCCAGGACTCAAGTCTGGCTAACCAGTTTCCCTGAATCCCTTCACAAAATATTACCCTGCTCACACTCCAACAGCTCATCAGATCCCAAAAACAATTCGTCTCCATTCACTCCTATCTAAAACATCCCCAAAAAAAATTCGTCTCCATTCACTCCTATCTAAAACGCTCCCATATGCCTGCTGCATGTCCAAGCCCCTTCTACCCCATCCCTCCATTCTTTCCTAGGATGACCCCTACCCCTTCTCTCCTCCACTACAGATTTATACACCCTCCAAATCATCCTATTTTGCCCCATGCTCTCAAAATGACCAAACCACCTCAACAACCCCTCTTTATCACTCTGAATAATACTTTCAGTAACTCCACATCTCCTCCTAATTTCCACACTATAAATTCTCTGCACAATATTTACACCACATATTAACCTTGGACATGACATTTCCACTGCCTCCAGCCTCCTCCTCACTGCAGCATTTACAACCCATGCTTCACAGCCATGTGTGTTGGTGCCACTATACTCTCATACATTCCCTAGTTTGCCTCCATCGATAACATTTTTTTTTTTGTCTCCACAGATACCTCAATACACCACTCATCTTTTTTCCTTCATCAATTCTATAGTTTCTTTGTCCTTCATAAACCCATCCGCTGACAAGTCCACTCCCAAATATCTGAACACATTCATTTCTTTCATACTCCCTCCCTCCCTCCAATGTGATATCCATTTTTTTTTTTACCTAACTCATTTGATACCCTCATCACCTTACTCTTATGTTCATTTTCAACTTTCTTCCATAATATGCATGTAATTACATATTGGAGCCTGGTGGCCCGGTGGCCTGGTGGCTAAAGCTCCCGCTTCACACACGGAGGGCCCAGGTTCGATTCCCGGCGGGTGGAAACATTTCGACACGTTTCCTTACACCTGTTGTCCTGTTCACCTAGCAGCAAATAGGTACCTGGGTGTTAGTCGACTGGTGTGGGTCGCATCCTGGGGGACAAGATTAAGGACCCCAATGGAAATAAGTTAGACAGTCCTCGATGACGCACTGACTTTCTTGGATTATCCTGGGTGGCTAATCCTCCGGGGTTAAAAATCCGAACGAAATCTTATCTCTTATCTCTAGGGGATCAGCTCAAGCTCTTGGCCCCATCTTGTAACTTTTGACTAACTGAACATTTCTGAAAACTCCTTCGGAGTGCAGGCACTGTACTTCCAACATCCAAGACTCCAGTTTGGCTAAACGGTTTCCCTAAATTCCTTCATAAAATGTTACTTTGCTCACACTCCAATAAGCCCTCGTGTATTTGATACATAAAATTTCATCAGGAGTCCCCTTACTTCCTCATAAGTCATTTCAATGCTTACTAATTCTATTTGGTTTATTCCTTAATCCATCTCTGGAACATATACTGTTAAATCTTTTGTTAAGCTCAAAGCATATCTCCATATCATTTCTTGCAAATGTTTTCCCTTCTTTTCTCATAATCATGTAATTATTTGTCAGTTTCTTTCTAATGTGGGTGTGATGTAGTTCTGGCATCTTTGTTTATGAAGTCTTTTTTATAGACAAACTATTCTCCATATATTTACCATATACATATAGTCATATATAAAGATTTACCAAACATACTAATTTAGCTAAATACCTAGCGTCAAATAAAATTAAATAAAAACTGTACAGTGGACCCAAGGATTACATCGTCATCAGAATACGTAATACTTGGAATAAGTAATGTTTTTTCATCAAAATACTGGCTCGGTGACTGTCATTGAACTCGGTATAAGGCATTCATCCAGAATGTGTCCTCGCGGCCTGAGCGGCCCCGACACTCCATATATAGCAAGTGTGCCACTGTTTATCAGCCAGTGAGGACGATCCCACGAGTTCATACGATATATTTTGTAGTACTCCATTCTTTTCAGTGCTTGCAACTGCTAAATAAGCCACCATGGGCCCAAAGAAAGTTCTTAGTGCCATTCAGCCCTTTGGTATAAAGGGCTGAGAGGGAGAGGAGAATGTGCCTTTTTCAGTGATTCTGCAATATGTACAATACTAAAGCAGCATGAGTTGATAAAGGTTATAGCGCCAGCCAGTGATAAAATGCAGCAGTAACAGTGTACCAAGTAAGTTAAGCGATTAATCGATAGAAAAAGGACAGCACGAAACTGACTCCTCCATTGTTGTTGGAGGTATATAGGGCTAGTGACTAACACCGCCACCTATGCTGCCGCCTTCACTACCACTATGTAAGGCTTATCTTTCAGTGGCCCTTGTACACCCAGCAACAAACACACAACCACTCATCACACTCTTAATGCCTTATTTTATTCATTCTAGAGTAGATATCATGTTTCTATGTTATTAATACTGTTTATTATGTCATATTAGATGAATTATGCTAGATAAATAAGTAGTAGGTTGGAAGACAGCAACCACCCAGGGAGGTACTACCGTTCTGCCAAACGAGTATAAAACGAAAGCCTGTAATTGTTTTACATGATGGTAGGATTGCTGGTGTCTTTTGTCTGTCTCATAAATATGCAAGATTACAGGTACGTTTTGCTACTTCTACTTACACTTAGGTCACACTAAACATACACGTACACAATTATTTATACACACTCATCTTTGATTTTATCTTAGTTCTTGTTCTAATTACTTTTCCTTTTATATCCATGGGGAAGTGGAATAAGAATCTTTCCTCCGTAAGCCATGCATGTTGTAAAAGTCAACTAAAATGCTGGAAACAATGGGCTAGTAACCCCTTTTCTGGTAAAAATGACTAAAAAGACTAAGAAGAAAATTGTCAAAGTGGGAAGTCTGAATGTGCGTGGATGTTGTGCAAATGATAAGAAAGAGATGATTGTGGATGTTATGAATGTGAAGAAGCTGGATATCCTGGTTTTAAGTGAAACAAAGCTGAAGGGGGTGGGTGAGTTTCAGTGGAGAGGAATAAATAGGATTAGGTCAGGGGTTTCTAATAGAGTTAGAGCTATAGAAGGAGTGCAATAATGTTGAAGGATAAGCTATGGCAGGAAAAGAGGGACTATAAATGTATAAAATCAAGGATTATGTGGAGCAAAATAAAGGTTGGATGTGAGAAGTGGGTTATAGTAAGCATTCATGCACCTGGGGAAGAGAAAAGTATAGAGGAGAGGTTTTGGGAAATGTTGAGTAATTGCATGGGGAGTTTTGAACCAAGTGTGAGAGTAATTGTGGTTGGGGATTTTAATGCTAAAGAACATAAGAAAGGAGGAACACTGCAGCAGGCCTGTTGGCCCATACTAGGCAGGTCCTTTACAATTCATCCCACTAACAAACATTTGACCAACCCAATTTTCAATGCTACCCAAGAAATAAGCTCTGATGTGCAAGTCCCACTCAAATCCAACCCCTCCCACTCATGTACTTATCCAACCTAAATTTGAAACTACCCAAAGTCCTAGCCTCAATAACCCAACTAGGTAGACTGTTCCACTCATCAACTACCCTATTTCCAAACTAATACTTTCCTATGTCCTTTCTAAATCTAAACTTACCTAATTTAAATCCATTACTGCGGGTTCTCTCTTGGAGAGATATCCTCAAGACCTTGTTAATATCCCCTTTATTAATACCTATCTTCCACTTATACACTTCGATCAGGTCTCCCCTCATTCTTCGTCTAACAAGTGAATGTAACATAAGAGTCTTCAATCTTTCTTCATAAGGAAGATTTCTAATGCTATGTATTAATTTAGTCATCCTACACTGAATGTTTTCTAACAAATTTATGTCCATTCTGTAATATGGAGACCAGAATTGAGCTGCATAATCTAGGTGAGGCCTTACTAATGATGTATAAAGCTGCAGTATGACCTCTGGACTTCTGTTGCTTACACTTCTTGATATAAATCCCAGTAATCTATTTGCCTTATTATTTAGGCATTGCTGTCTTGGTTTAAGGTTGCTGCTCACCACAACCCCCAAGTCCTTTTCGCAATCTGTATGGCTAAGTTCTACATTATTTAACTTATAAGTGCTAGGGTTATGAACACTCCCGAGCTTCAGAACCTTGCATTTATCTACATTGAACTGCATCTGCCACTTTTCTGACCAAGAGTAGAGTTCGTCTAAATCCTCCTGAAGTTCCCTAACATCTACGTTTGAATCAATTATCCTACCTATCTTCGTGTCATCGGCGAATTTGCTCATATCACTAGTAATTCCTTCATCAAGATCATTGATATATATTATAAACAACAACGGGCCCAAGACTGATCCCTGTGGAATGCCACTTGTTACTGATCCCCACTCGGATTTAACCCCATTTATGGACACTCTGTGAGCCATGATTCGATCCACGAGAGCACCCTTCCCCCAATGCCATGAGCTGCTACTTACTTCAACAGTCTTTGGTGCGGGACTCTATCAAATGCCTTACTAAAATCTAAGTAAATAATATCAAATTCTTTATCGTGGTCAACAGCCTCAAAAGCTTTACTGAAGAAAGTTAATAAATTAGTTAGACAAGACCGGCCTCTTGTGAATCCATGCTGAGTATCATTAATCAAGCTATGCTTATTGAGATGGCTTCTTATAATCTGAGCTATAATTGACTCTAGTAATTTGCCTACAATTGAGGTCAGGCTTATTGGGCGGTAATTTGACGGTAACGACTTATCCCGTTTTAAAAATAGGAATTACATTAGCCATCTTCCACATATCAGACACTACACCTGTTTGAAGAGATAAATTAAAAATATTAGTTAATGGTTCACAGACTTCCATATTGCATTCCTTTAGAACCCTTGAAAAAACCTCATCAGGACCCGGTGACTTATTTTGCTTCAGTCGGTCTATCTGCTTCACAACCATTTCACTAGTGACTGTGATGTTACATAATTTATCTTCTTCTGGCCCACTATAAAAATTAATTACTGGAATATTATTAGTGTCTTCCTGTGTAAAAACCGAGAGAAAATAATTATTTAAAATCGAGCACATTTCATTCTCTTTGTCAGTAAGATGCCCATAGTTATTTTTAAGGGGACCTATATTATCTCTGACTTTTGTTCTATATACCTGGAAAAAACTTTTTGGGTTAGTTTTAGAATCCCTAGCAACTTTAATTTCATAGTCCCTTTTAGCTTTTCTTATCCCCTTTTTAATGTCCCTCTTAATGTCAATATACTGATTAATAAGATGACCCTCGCCTCTTTTGATACGCCTATAAATTCCTTTCTTATGCCCTAGTAGATATTTCAGCCTATTATTCATCCATTTTGGGTCATTTCTATTTGATCTAATTTCTTTATAAGGGATAAACGTTCTTTAAGCAGCATGTATTGTGTTCAGAAAACTGTCATATTGATAGCTCTCTTCGTTACCCCAGTCAACAGATAAAGTGTTCTCTAAGCCCATCGTAATCTGCTAAGCGAAAATCTGGGACTGTTACTGAGTTATCCCTGCTATCATTCTTCCATTCAATTCTAAATGTAATTGATTTGTGGTCGCTAGCACCCAGTTCCTCTGAAACTTCTAAATTATTAACAAGGGATTCATTGTTTGCCAGAACTAAGTCAAGCAGGTTATTACCCCTTGTAGGTTCTGTCACAAACTGCTTCAAAAAACAATCCTGAACTACTTCTAAGAAGTCGTATGATTCTAAATTCCCAGTCAAGAAATTCCAATCAATATGACTAAAGTTAAAGTCTCCTAGAATTACTACAGTATCGTGCCTTGTGGCCCAAACAATTTCCTCCCATAGTAGTCTCCCCTGGTCCCTATCTAAATTTGGGGGACGGTATATCACACCTAAAATTAATTTTTCATGCCCCTCTGAAAATTCTATCCAAACAGACTCTGTATGTGTTACTTCAGACTTAATACCCGTTTTTATGCAACAGTTCAAGCGATCTCGGACATACAATGCCACCCCACCCCCCTTCCCGATACTTCTATCTACTTGGAACAATTTAAAACCCTGAATGTGACATTCTGCAGGCATGTCCCGACTTTTTGAATTAAACCACGTCTCAGTAATGGCAAATACATCTATGTTACCTGCACTAGCAACTAGTCTCAACTCGTCCATCTTATTCCTAGCACTGCGACTATTTGTGTAATAAATATTTAAAGACCCTCCTCTCTCTTTACCCTTCCTGCTCCTTTCTGTTATTCCACTAAACCTATTACTGTCCTTGTCAATTAGTGCCACTGGCTTTCCAATATCCACCTCATTTTGCCTATTACTAGTTCTCCTAGTACTCACATTACTACCCTGCGACTTCACAGTTTTCCCCCCCAAAACCCATACCATTTAACTATTCCTAGTTTAAAGACCTAACAGCTCCCTCCACTGCGTTGACCAGTGCTCCCACCCACACCTAGATAAGTGAATCCCATCCCTGGCATACATGTCATTTTGCCATAGAAGAGGTCCTAGTTGTCAATGAATGTTACCGCATTTTCCTTACAGTATTTGTCCAGCCAGCAATTGACACCAATTGCTCTGGACAACCATTCATTTCCAACTCCTCTCCTTGGCAAAATGACAC